TCTTAACTGCCTGGCCCTTAGCTCTTGGCCTCCTCACCTGGAGCCTGGGCTGCCCCAGTGCCCCCCAAGGCAGAACAGGAGTTCCCAGGGGACCGGGTTCGGTGGAGTGTCACCCCTTGACTAGATCGCTGGGGCCATCCTGGGCTTGAGGGTGGGAGCTGTCTTAGAGCAGGAAGTGGCTGTCGGGCCCTGGGCTGACGCTGCCAACCCCCCATCCGGGGGTCCCCACAGCCCTTATGTTCCTCTTGGGCATCCTGGACTTCCTCTTCGTCAGCCATGCCTATCACAGCATCCTGACCCGTGGGGCTTCTGTGCAGCTGGTGTTTGGCTTTGAGGTAAAATGGCTTGGGAGGTTGGGAGGACAAGCCTGAGGTGGCACTGCATGGGCCTTGAATAAGCCACATACCCTGACTGAGCACCTGCTCTGTGGCCAGTCCTGTGCGGGCCACCAAGGAGCAGCCATCAGTCAGTCCCAGCGCCCGCCCTGTCCTCTAGGAGAGTGGGGAAGGCCCAGAAACAGGTGTGGGGGGCAGGAGCCCTGACCTGGGGCTCAGGGAAGTCTTCTGAAAGTCGGTGCTCAAGCAGCTTGATGGACAGAGGGAATTAGTTTGATGGACAACTGGGGAGGTGTGTCCCTGGCACAGAGGAAGGTGTTCAGTGACAACAGCTCACGTTTGTCGAGTGCTTACTGTATGCCAGGGCTTGTGCTGAGCATTCGACCTGCATGTCTTAATCAGCAAAGCAATGTTGTTATTAAAGAGAGAGTTAATTCTGTCATTTTACAGACAAGCAAACTGAGGTTCAGAGAGGTCTAGCAAGTTGCCCCAAATCACAGCAGCCAGTGAGTGGAGGAACTAGGAGGACCTGGGCTGTGTCCAAGCCTGTGTTTGTGTCACTGCGCCTTGCCTGCTGGTAGCAGAACATAGCTGCACAAGGGGGCGGGGGCTGCGTGCTTATGTCCCCTGTCCTCTCCGTCCAGTACGCCATCCTGATGACTATGGTGCTCACCATCTTCATCAAGTACGTGCTGCACTCAGTGGACCTCCAGAGCGAGAACCCCTGGGACAATAAGGCCGTGTACATGCTCTACACAGAGCTCTTTACAGGTGAGAGGAGTCTGGGCCTCTCCTGACCTAGACTAGTGTCCCCTCCCCTGCCTCCCACGCCCTGTGACCTGCTGCTCTGTGCACCCCCCCTTACCCCCAGGCTTCATCAAAGTTTTGCTGTACATGGCTTTCATGACCATCATGATCAAGGTGCACACCTTCCCTCTCTTTGCCATCCGGCCTATGTACCTGGCTATGAGGTGAGCCCAGCCCCGTCATGCCATGCCCCGACCCCTCCCTGATCCCTCCCCTCCCTCTCCCAACTTTCACTGAAATTGTCCTTTTAGGCAGTTCAAGAAAGCTGTGACAGACGCCATCATGTCTCGTCGGGCCATCCGCAACATGAACACACTGTAAGCGGGCCCATCCCAGCTACTCTCCCAAGCTCCGCCCCAGGGCCCTGCTTCCAGCTGTGGTCTTGATGTGTCCCCGGCCTGTCCTAACCAGGTATCCAGATGCCACCCCAGAGGAACTCCAGGCAATGGACAATGTCTGCATCATCTGCCGAGAAGAGATGGTGACTGGTGCCAAGAGACTGCCCTGCAACCACATTTTCCACACCAGGTGAGAGGGGCCCTGGGGAGCCCTGCACATCAGGGGGCCGGCCGTGGGGGGCAGGCCTCCAGGGCCCTACTGACCATCGCCTGGTCTTGACCTGCAGCTGCCTGCGCTCCTGGTTCCAGCGGCAGCAGACCTGCCCTACGTGCCGCATGGACGTCCTTCGGGCATCACTGCCGACGCAGTCACCACCGCCCCCTGAACCTGCGGATCAGGGGCCACCACCTGCCCCCCACCCTCCACCACTCCTGCCCCAGCCCCCTAATTGTGAGTGGCCCCCTCACTAGGCCATCCAGCACACTGTTGGGTACTCGCTCTGGGCTGGGCAGGGGAAATGCTGAGGGGATTCAGCCCGTGCCCTCCAGAAGCCAGTCCGGGTGGAGGAGGGTCACAGGAAGAGACGTAGGTGACTGCGGTGGGGTGTGATCAAGGCTGAGCTCGGAGGCCTGTGGGGGCAGAGGCCAGAGCCCCCAGCAGTCAGCCCCTCGCCTGCGGTTTGGACGTCTTCTCACCACCCGGTCCTCTCTCCGCAGTCCCCCAGGGCCTCCTGCCTCCCTTTCCTCCAGGCATGTTCCCGCTGTGGCCCCCCATGGGCCCCTTTCCACCCGTCCCACCTCCTCCCAGCTCAGGAGAGGCTGTGGCCCCTCCATCCACCAGTGCAGGTGAGCCTTTTGGATACTGTGACAGCCAGGGGGCTGGGAGGAGTGGAAGCCAGAGGCCCACCAACACTCGCTGACTTCCTGTTCTTGCTCTTCAGCAGCACTTTCTCGGCCCAGTGGAGCAGCCACAACCACAGCTGCCTCTGCGCCGGCACCTGGCTCTGCCCCCACCCCTGAGGCCGGCCCTGCCCCCGGCTTCCCCTTCCCCCCTCCCTGGATGGGCATGCCTCTGCCTCCACCCTTTGGTAAGCTGGGCCACTCTCGGAGCTGTTGCGGAGGGCGGCGGGTGGCAGGCCCAGGCAGTCCAGGCTGAGCCTTTCTCTCCAGCCTTCCCCCCGATGCCCGTGCCCCCTGCGGGCTTTGCCGGGCTGACCCCGGAGGAGCTGCGGGCTCTGGAAGGCCATGAGCGCCAGCACCTGGAGGCTCGGCTGCAGAGCCTGCGCAACATCCACACGCTGCTGGATGCCGCCATGCTGCAGATCAACCAGTACCTCACCGTGCTCGCGTCCTTGGGGTACGTCTGCACAGGGCGCTGGAGTGGGCGGGGCAGGGCGGGGAGCTGCCGAGAGGAGGCCCCAGCAGTGGTTCTTGGCCTTTTTCTCTGTGACGCTGTTGATCCAGGCCACCTATCTGTAGGCACAGCCAGGGTCTCAGGGTTCTTGGTGCCTTTTTGTCCTCCTGCAGAAGGCCTGTCTGGGCTAAGTAGGAGCGATGTTTCTTAGAGAGCTGATCTTGAATCTGGTTCCTTTATGTTTGTCTAAAGTCACGTTACCCATAGTTCTCAGCGCTTTAGTTCACCGTGTGCATGCTCCTGATGTGATGACATAGCCAGGCATCACTGCCCCCCGATCTGAGACGGCAAAGAAAAAGTTGCTTGGAGCCAGCCCGGCCTGAGTTCAAGTCCTGGGCCCATCCCTCACTTGCTGTACTTGAGTTACTTTGTTTGAAGAGAAGGGTTCTAATTCCTGGTCACAGGTCACATTGCAAAGTGCGCCCAGCAGTGGCAGCACAGGTGGGAGGGGAGCTGGAGTCTGAGACGTGAGTGCTGTTTGATTCAGTGGAATGTCTCAGGTGGATGCCCCGTTAAGGTGCCTGGCACCCCAGGGCGGACCCTGCAGTGTGGCAGGGAACACGGCCAGCACAGCTGCCAGCACGGGGCTTACAGCCAGTCTGTGGGACAGAATCACGACAATCCCTGCAGCACGTGTTCGCTTGTGTCCCCGGGGCTGCGGAGGCGTGTCAGTGCTGCGCTCCCCCTGCCAGGCTCCCCAGGGGCAGGCGAACCAGCCCAGTCATGCCAAGCTTGTCTTCCTAGGCCCCCTCGGCCTGCCACCTCCGTCAACCCCACTGAGGAGACTGCCCCTTCTGTTGTCACTGCTGCCTCCTCCACCAGCATCCCCAGCTCTGAGGCCACCACCCCGTCCCCAGGAGCCTCCTCACCAGCCTCTGAACCCGAAAAGCCTCCAGGTAGTTGTGGTCAGCCCACAGTGGGGTGGCTGGGGCTTCTCTGGGTTCCACTTCCGACCTCTCTGTCCCCAGCACCTGAGTCACTGGGCTCCGAGGAGCTGCCTGAGGATGGGGAACCTGATGCAGCAGAGCTCCGCCGCCGTCGCCTGCAAAAGTTGGAGTCCCCCGTTGCCCACTGACACTGCCCTGGTCCTGTTCCCTGCCCCCACTTTTGAGCAGCCCTCGCTGGAACATGTCCTGCCACCAAGTGCCAGCTCCCTCTGTATCTGCACCAGGGAGTAGTAACCTTCAGCTCTGAGACAGAGGAGGTGGCAGCCCTTAGGCCAAGTGGAAAAAGGCCTGAGGCCCCAGATGACTCCAGCCCTTACTGTCCCAGGCAGCCATGGAGATCTTGGGTCACTTCCAGCCTTCCCTCCTACCCTCCAGCCCTGAGTTCTGCAGGGCCATGAAGGCAGAAAGGCGCAGCCTCTGCGAAGCCTTCTGCATCCTCCCCGCCTCTGGGAGAAGGGGCAGCCCCTCTGAGCCACACTTGTGTGTGTGGAGTCACGCTGCAGTGCCAAACAGTATTAGCTCCCTCCCATCCCCAAGTGTGGACTCAAGGGCCTGGAGGCAGGCCAGGAACTTGTTCCCTGGCCCCCCTCCAAGACTGGTACCCACGTCCTTTTCTCACCCTAAACTTCCCAGAAGCCTTTTGTGGTGGTGGCTGTGCCCCTTATGCCCTGTGGCATTTACATGTCTTATCAGCAACCACACAACTCAGGGAAAGGAGCCCCTGGGGGTGGAGGAGCAGGTGGGCAGGGCTGAGGGACCCGGCCCTGCCCCTCCCCCCAGGCCCCTCTCTCCCTGCTGTGTGTCTAGGAGGAGACTGTCCCTGGTCCCCCCCAGCAGCCACTGCCCACCCTCACTCCAGGCTGAGGGCTTGTGTGTCTGCTCCAGAACCACTGCAAGCCCCATAATCCACGGAAGGCCACTTCTCAACTTAACTTTTTCTGAGTTTAGAATTGGAATTACTTCCTTGCTATTGTCTTTTGGCTTAAATTTTGTCTTTGAATTTGAATGCTTGACCCCAGGAAAGAGGAGCAAGAGTGCCAGGCTCCTGGTCTTTCAGTTTAGAAAAGGCTCTGGGCCAGGCAGGGACCACAGGAGCCGAGGCCTGCCTGTCCCCGTCTTTTCCCCCTTGGTTTTGTGTTACAAGAGTTGCTGGAGACAGTTTGAGATGATTATTTAATTTGTAAATATTGTACAAATTTTAATAGCTTAAATTGTATATACAGCCAAATAAAAACTTGCATTAACGATTGGTGGAGCTGGTGTCGTGCCATCAGTGTGCAGGCTCCTTTTTCTTGCTCAGGCTGTCGACTTGAGAGTGGCCTGGAGCTGCAGGGGTGCGGGTTTATTTGTAGAAGCCAGCACTGTTTGGGGGCACGTTGTTGATTATTAAACCATTAGGAAGATATATCCATTTTACACATGAATAAACGGAGGCCCGAGGTTAAGGACCCCGCCTTAGGTCAGAGACCAAGTAGGGGAGCCAGGCTCTGAACCCTGTCATGCCACTTTGCTGGGGTGGGGTTGGGAACTCAGGCCTTTGGCCCTTGTGACTCCAGGGAGAGGGCAAGTGTGAAGGTTCATTGCCTGGAGGTGGGACAGATGGCAGGGGCAAAGGGCCAGCCAGCATCTTCCTGCCTGCAAACCTGTCCAGCCTTGATAGCAGTCAGGAAGCTAGGGAGGCTGGCCCGGTGCTGGGCTGCTGAGACCTCCCGAGCACCGCCTTGTGGGCAGGCCAGCTAAAGCTAATCACTTCGCTCCACGGAGCCAGAGACCCAGTCAGGACCAACTCTGGAATGGAGCAGAGGTGACCGGGCCTTCTGGCTCTCCGTGGACAGAAAGAGTGCCCTGGGCCCAGCACTCCACTTGGAGCTGAAGGCCTCCGGGACCCACCTCTGAGTCATTTGTGTTCTTCGTAGCCACCACCAAGTCAGGGCTGGCAAGGGCTCGGGAGTGTCGGGAGTGTTGGCAGCAGGATGGGTCTGAGGGCCAGGGAAGTAATGTCCCCAGTGCATGTGCTACCCTCCCCCGAAAGTGGACTGGGCTGTGCTTCCCCCAGAGGAGCAGTCGACAAGCTCCAGAATTTGCATAGCTGACGAGGAGTTCTAATGAAGGGAAAGCAGGAGTCGGGGTGGGAGGACAGCAACCAATGCCCCCACTAGCTCAGCTGCCCCTAGTGGGTCTCGTCCAGTGCTGGCACCTGTGCAGAGGGTCCCATCCCCGCACGGTGCAAGCAGGGCCTCCTCTGAAGCCCTTTAGCCCTCGCTCTGCCCTGCCTCAGCCCTTAGCCCTGGACTCCGTCCCCCTGTCCTAGCTGCTCCAACACCCACCCCCTCCTCCACAGAGCCCCTGGACTCCAGTCTGGGGCGACACTGTCTTGCAGGCTGCTCAGCTGGGCCTCAGAAGCCCTTCTCCAGGAGCCAGGCTTTGAGCTGCCGGTCAAAGTAGCCCTTGATCCGCAGAGTACCTGTCACCTCGTTGACCTGGGTGACAGGGGTCTTCCCCAGCAGTGGCCTCAGAAAATCTTCCACGTCCTTCTGCAGGGCCTGGGGGGAGATGACAAATCAGGCCTGGTGAGGAGACCTTCCTCTCCAGAGGACTCCCATCCCTTCAGCCCTGAAAGGGTCAGAATCAGACCCTGACCCACCCACCCACTTACCCAAATGTCCCCCTCCACCTTCCGGATCACGGTCATCTGACGGTTGCCATGCGTGATGTCCGTGTAGACAGGGATGTTGTGCATCCGAGAACGCCGCACAAAGTAGGGCAGGCTGGGCGGGGGGTCTGTGACGGGGAGGGATGGGATAAGCCCAATGTCTAGGCTTCATCGCACCTCAGCCAAGGCCTTTCCCCTCACTGTCTGCAGAGGGACAGTGCACCCGATGGCAGAGCCACCTCCAACTTCAAGTTGGGAGGCCTGCTCTTTCCCTAAGTTTAGAGCCAGACCAGCTTGTTCACCCTGAAACCCTGAGGCCCAGCACAGGGCCTGGCACCAGAAGGTGCTCAGGAAGAAATGAGGTCAGGGCCACGCCTCCCTGGATCTCTGGGTGCCCCTCTGGGGCCAGTCTTGGTTCTTCTCCACTGGCTCCGGGAGGCTGACTCAGTCTCTGGCAGAGAGACGGGGATGCACAAGCACTGAAGCCCTCCCACGCTGGGCTCTGCACTAAGCGCTTGATGTGCCGAGCACATTCTCTCCGTTTTGCTGACACTGCGGGTGGAAGAGGCTAAGCGACTAACTCAAGATCACACTGACAGTGAAGAGCAGTGCCAAATCCGGACCCAGACCGCCCAGCTCCCAAGCTGTGTCCTCAGCCATGGCGTGTGGCCCGGGCGGGGGAAGGTCCAAGCTCCTGGGTCTTCTCTCCATGCTTCACTTTTCCCACATGGGAAGACCTCGTCCCGATAGCGAGGATGGACAGTACTAGTAGAACAGGGCTCCATTCCTGGGCCCTTCCTTGAACATGAGACGGATGCTAGCCCTGCGAGACAGCAACACAAGTCCTGAACCCACCGGGGAGTCCAGGGCATCAGCTGGGGCGGGCAGACCACCAGGGAGGGGCTGCTTCCCTGCAGCCTTCCAGCCATCCCCATCACCCAGCTCACCTCTCGGGGGCTGCCAGCCACTAGGAGTGGGATAATGTTCATGCTTTGGGGGCTTTGGGATGGTGGCGGGGGGCAACAGGCGCTCCACAAACTGGTATTCATCCACAGACTCGACGAAGCTGGGGTAGTCAGGAGGCCCCTGGGTCTGGCTCTGAGGCAAAAACAAAACACTCGTCTCTCCATCACCTCACTCACCACAGGATAGGCAGAACTTGAAGAAGTAGAGAAAGGAAACATCACAGATGGGGAGAACAGCATAAATAAAAGGCGGAGGTGGGAAAGCGCCAGACTTCGGTTTCCCAGGGTGCAGGGTGCAGGTGGGACTGGAAAAGAATTTGAGGCACTTCTAAGGGCCTGCCTCTCTTAGGATTTCTGCGGGACTCAAATGAGAAGTGTGTGTACACTTCTGAAAAGCAGACTAACCAGGAAGTCTGACCAATATGGCATTTTCCAGCATTTTAACGTTTCCTCTGAACATTCCACTGAAATATTCTAGCTCTGGGTTAGGAACTTCTAGCAATCGTGCTAATTTTCCACTCTCATCCGATGTGACCTTCCCTTACCTAGAAGGTTCTGGCCTCATACAGACCCCATCAGGCACTTTACCAAGTGCTTTACGGGTATCATTTGCACTTAATTCTTATAATGCAACAAGTTAGGTATGTTATTTTATAATTACTTTATAGCCCCTTTTTACATCCAACAAAGATTAAAATATTAATAAACAATCTATCCAAGGTCACACTCCAGAGTCTGTCCTCCCATCCTCCAGCCTAAAGATCAGTCTTGGACACTTCTCCCAACAGATAGCCCTGAGTCCTGATAGGTCCCGAGGTTACAATGAGAACAGGGAGGCAGGGTGAAGTAGCCTGTATATCATAAGCTCTAAGTTCCCAGAAGTGTCACCAATGATCCAGGGCCGACTCCTACCCCGTGAAACAAACGGTTTCCCCTCCGAAAACTTAGGCAGCGAGAGTCGATGTGCAGTCCCTCCCACATTTATTTATTTATTTTGGTGAGCAAGATTGGCCCTAAGCTAACATCTGTTGCCAATCTTTTTTTTCCCTCCCCAAAGCCCCAATACATAGTTGTACATCCTAGTTGTGAGTCATTCTAGTTCTACGTGGGATGCCGCCACAGCATGGCCTGATGAGCGGTGTGTAGGTCCTCGCGCAGGATCCGAACCTGCGAACCCGGGCCGCCGAAGCGGAGCGCAGGAACTTAACCACTCGGCCACGGCCGGCCCCAGCCCCTCCCACTCCTGACTAACCCGGGTTCTCCTCCAATCAGTTTCCACTTCCCACACTCCGGAGGGCGCTCCAGGCCCTGCCACCTTCCCTCTCCATCTTGCATTTGAGCTCAGAAAAGAAGCCCCGATCAGACGGGAAACTAAGGCCCCAAGTAGGACGCCGTCTTTAGGGTTATAGGAATAACAAGGAGCCTCACACCTAGCCCTCTGCCCCCAGCTCCAGGCTCAGCGCTCTCACCAGCCGCCGTAGCCCGCAGCCCGGCTGGACGCCGGTTCTCCAGCCCCGCAGAACAGCCCGGAACATGGTCGCCGCCATCTTGAACTGCCCCGTACACTAGCCTTCTGCGCGCGCAACCGGCCTGGTCCCGCCCCTTCCTGCGCGCGCCGCCGGGACAGAAATGACGCCTGCGCGAAGCGTAAGGAGGGGGAGCTAGAGCGGCCGTGCTACAAAAAGCCAAGGCCCTCGCGGTCGCTCAGTAGTGACGTAGCACGCAGCAGGAGGTGAGGACGTGCGCGCCCTCGCTCCTTCCTCTTTCTCGACTCCATCTTCGCGGTAGCGGCTGCGGTGGCAGCGATTCAGGTAAGATTTGGGCCACGGCTGGATCCGGAGAGCTTAATAGCAGGTTGACCGCGAGGCCGGAGGGCGCGGGGAGGATAGAGGAAGAGGGGCTGCTCTGTGGGCCGGGCTCCGGTCCCCACCCGACCTGCCTCGCAGGCCCGGCCTTCCCCACGTGAGACCCCGCGACCACCTACGTCCCGGTGCGATCGTGCCCAGCCCGCCACCTGTTCCCCGCCCTTCTCTCGGCCGGCGTGTGTGTTTCACGAGTCTTTCTTTCCTCAGTCGCCGACATGCAGCTCTTTGTCCGCGCCCAGGAGCTACACACCCTCGAGGTGACCGGCCAGGAGACGGTCGCCCAGATCAAGGTAAGGCCGCGTGGTGCTCCTTGGGCTGGGCTCAATCCTCCCGTGTTCTTCCATTTCGGCCCCCGCGGGAACGCTCACGAGCCTCATTTTTCCCCGTAGGCTCATGTGGCCTCGTTGGAGGGCATCGCTGCAGAAGATCAAGTCGTGCTCTTGGCAGGCACGCCCCTGGAGGATGAGGCTACTCTGGGCCAGTGTGGGGTGGAGGCTCTGACCACTCTGGAAGTAGCCGGCCGCATGCTTGGAGGTAAGTTGGGGAGGAGTGTCGTTTGAACTGCTTGTAAGCACATATGGGTGTGGGGTGTGGCGTTCAGTGTCCTCAATCCAGGGCTGTTCTTCTGTTTACCTCCCTCCAAATGAGCTCAGGAGAGGTCCACGGGAGACTGAGTCAGCGTATAGTTCTGTTTCAGTCACTTACTAGATCCTTGTCTGTTTCCCACTTTTCTCACTAAAATCAGGGGGTCAGACCAGACCCCCAGGTGCTGTTGAGTTCTTGTTTAAAATCAGGGACTGGGAAATCCTGAAGTGAAACGTCAGAATGTACCAAACTAGACATTCTTGGTCAGAAGCTAAATTTCTCCGACTTTGTTCTTCTTCCCGCTTGGCCCCTTCTTGCTCCCTAACTGCTTGCTTTCTCCTTTCCCACCACAGGTAAAGTCCATGGCTCCCTAGCCCGTGCTGGGAAAGTCAGAGGTCAGACTCCCAAGGTAAGTGAGAGCGTTAGTGATGGCATTTGGACTTTGAAAGATCTTTGGCCCTTTCCGTGTCTGCCTTCCCCCTCCCTGGAGATGAGCCTGAGGGAAGGCTTGGAAGATGTCAACCAGGGTCTGACCAGCCCTCCGTTTTCCCAGGTGGCCAAGCAGGAGAAAAAGAAGAAGAAGACAGGCCGGGCCAAGCGGCGGATGCAGTACAACCGGCGCTTTGTCAATGTCGTGCCCACCTTTGGCAAGAAGAAGGGCCCCAATGCCAACTCTTAAGTCCTTTGTAATCCTGGCTTTTGCTAATAAAGCCATTTAACCCAGTCATCTCATTGTTTCGTTTTCATTTGCAGAGAGAGAGATACAGTTTCTAGGGCTGGTGGTGTGTCCATTAGAGAGGCCTGCTTTTGGTTTCTTGGCAGCGTCAAGTTAGGAAGAGGGAGAGGCCCTTAGGGGCCGGAAGGTTGATAAACTATAAGAAAAGGTTTCCCGGGAAAATCAGTAACCACAGATGCTGGCCCTTCAGAGGTAGATTTGAGGCAACTTCCAATCCCAAATAACTTGATAATTCCCCCAAATCCTCCTATTTGTTCTTACTCTTCTTTTGAGCAGAGAACATAACAGGAAGCATTGTGGTGGGAGGTTTTATGAAGGCAGCAGTGGAGGGAGGAGTTCCAGTAGAAGATGTATCAGCAAACCGCCAATCTGGGCTTTCCCTGAGCTTGGGACCAGCTGAGGCTTAGTGGGGTCCAGGGCAGGGATCTGGTCTGCCCCAGCTTTGGAGAGCATTGCCTGATTACATTGGAACTGGTGACCTTTTTGGTACCTCTGAGCACCTGGCTGGCCCTGTTAACCTAATCACAGCCAGGGTTGGTCACTGGATTGAATCAGTGTTCCCGGAAGTGGAGTTCTGGGGCCGATTCAAGGTTCCCTTCTAGCAGCACCTGCAGTACCCACTCGTTCATTCTGCTAAGGTCTTTGAACCTGCTGGTTCTTGGGATACAGCACGCTGTGGGGTAAAGACCTTGGGCTCTGGACTGGGGCTGCCTTGACTTTGGCTCCTTGCTCTATTTACTGGCTGGCTGGCTGGCTGGCTGGCTGACTTGAACTAACTACTTATTTAATTTCTGCCATAATCCTGCTATGAGAATTAAATGAAGGATGCAAAGTGCTTAGGTCAGCACCTCTGTAGGGATCTTTTTTAGAAACATACGGCCCCCTCCTTTCTAGGAGTTTAGTTTTCTTTGGAAGACTGGCCCTGAGCTAACATTCGTGCCCATCTTCCTCTACTTTATATGTGGGATGCCTGGGCAGCATGGCTTACCAAGTGGCGCCATGTCCCCCACGCGGGATCTGAAGCAGCAAACCCCAAGCTGCCGAGAAGCGGAACGTGCAAACTTAACCGCTGCGCCATGGGGCCGGCCTCAAGGAGTTTAGATTCTTGTGGCAAAAGTGAGAACACTAGTTACAAGTGTTAGTTACAGCCTCAAAATAAGTGCTGTAATGAAAGAGGGAGGGGGGTTGGACAGACAGACCATCCTAGGGAAGGCCTCTGGAGACGGGATGTGTGAGACCTGAAACGAGGAGCCAGTCAAGCAGTGAGATGACGACAGAGTTCCAACTCAGAAAACTGTGCAGAGGCGTGTGGCAGGTCCTACAGGGTCCTGTCAGACGTGGGGAGGAGTTTGGGGTTTGAGTCCAAGTGCGGGGGAGGGTTTTAAGCAAGGGCCTGATGTCACCTGACTTGTGATCTACTGTTTTGTCTGGCTGCTTTTTCTGGAGGGCTGGCAAGAAAGTTAGGAAACTGGTTAAAGTGGTGTCATCCAGTTGACGGGCAAGTGGCCTAGAACACCAGCGGTAGTGGGGCTGCAAAAAATGAGCTGACTCGAGGGTGGTCAAATCCATCCAGATCTTGGGAGGGAAATACACGATCCATATTGAGAGAAATACAAGGTATTTTGAAGGCAGAGCAGAGTGTAGGTGGGGCTGCATGTGAGTGAGGTGAGGGACCAAAGAACCAGAGCTCACTTTCAGGGCTGCCCTGGCTCCAGCCTTCACAGCGCTTGGCACAGTTTGTGGGTCATCACCCCTACTCCACCCCAAACTGTAAGCTCCATTAGGATAGGGACCCACCTCTTTTTGCTCCTCAATGTTTTTGGCACCTAGTTCGGAGTCTGCACTTTGAAGTGGGATTAACCATAGGTTTGGAGGAGGAAATCAAACAGCTCAGATATTTGTCAAATGTTGCAGTCTTCTGAAAAGAGGAAATGCCCCGGACACACACACCCAGTCTAGGCTAGGTACTTCGTCCTGGCGTTTTCTTCCACTCTCCCCTTTACAAGTGTGTGTTCCCCAGCGCGGGGCCCGGGCTAGGTGCTTAGCAATGATCCTTTTCTGCCGCACCTCTCTGTAGTGCCCAAAGGGCAACCACGAGGGGGCGAGCTGGCCCGGCGGAGCGCCGGCTGGACCCGCCTGCCTAGCCTCTCGCACCGCGCAGGGCGGGGCTCCTACGTCACGAGCGGCTCCTGCGCCTGCCCGAGCTCTACTGGAGCGAGGGGTGGGGCCTGGTCTCCGAGTGCGGGCGGAAATGGCCGAGAGCCCTCGCGGCGGTTTGCGTAAGCGCTCCGTCGGCCGCGCAGAGAGGCGGAAGTAACCGAGAAGCGCCGGAAGTGCCGGGCGGGAGCCCGTGCGCGTTCGCTGGAGGCCTGCGGCGCCAGTTGCCATGGAGCCGGCCGGGCCGTGTGCCTTCTGCCCGGCCGGGGAGGCCCAGCCGGCGCGCTACACTTGCCCGCGCTGTAACGTGCCCTACTGCTCGCTGCGCTGCTACCGGGCGCACGGCGCCTGCGCCGAAGACTTCTACCGAGACCAGGTGCTGGGCGAGCTCCGCGGCCGCAGCGCCTCGCCCAGCCGCCTGGCCAGCGCCCTCCGCCGGCTGCGTCAGCAACGCGAGACCGAGGACGCGCCCGAGGACGCAGGCCTCAGGCCTGGCCCGGCGCCCGGCGGCCTCTCAGGACTCTGGGAACGGCTGACCCCGGCCGAGAAGGCGGCCTTCGAGCGGCTGCTGAGCCGGGGCGAGGCCGGGCGGCTGCTGCCCCCGTGGCGGCCGTGGTGGTGGGCGCGCGGGGCAACGCCGCGGCTTCTGGAGGAGCTGGACGATGCCCCCGGCGGCGAGGCCCCGGGGTCGGAGCCCGACCCCGCCCGGACGCCGCCGGAACCCGGGAAGGATGCCGCCGCCGCTGAGCCCGCAGCCGCCGAGCCGGTTCTCGGAGACGCCCCGGGGGCCGGCGCGCCCGCCGTGCCCACCCAGATCCCCGCGCTGGCCAGCCTGAGCCGCGGCCGGGCCTCGCCGCTCGTGCGCTTCCAGCTGCCCAACGTGCTGTTCGCCTATGCGCACACTCTCGCCCTGTATCACGGCGGCGACGAGGCGCTGCTCTCCGACTTCTGTGCCACGCTGCTCGGCGTCTCCGGGGCCCTGGGCGCCCAGCAAGTCTTCGCCTCTGCCGAGGAAGCGCTGCAGGCCGCAGCGCACGTGCTGGAAGCAGGCGAGCATCCGCCTGGGCCCCTGGGCACACGGGGTGCCATGCGCGAGGTTGCCCGCCTCCTGCTGGGCGAGGGCCCGGCCAACCAGAAAGGCTACACGCTGGCAGCATTAGGGCATCTCGCGCAGACCCTCGGCCGGGCCCGGAAACAAACCGTGGCTACGGAAGAGCGAGATCGCCTCTACCGGGCCCGGAAGAAGTGCCAGTTCCTGCTGGCTTGGACCAACGAAAATGAGGTGGCCCTGACGCCCCTGGCTCTAGACTGCGCCAGGGCCCATCGAGCCCATGCCGTGGCCGCCGAGGAGGTGGCTGCCCTCACTGGGGAGCTGGAGCAGCTTTGGGGAGGCCCCCTGCCACCTGCCCCGAGGACTCTCATTGAGGAGCTCCCTGGCTGAACAGGGGACCCTTTGTCATTAATAAAGCTGTGACTGGTCTGCCCTGTCGGCAGTGCCCTTTTCTGAGTGATAGCTGTTGTCCCACCCACCCCTAGACTCAGCCACAGCCACCTTTCAGCTTCTCCCTGATCAGGGCTGACCCAGCCACCTTTTAAACATCCTGGCCCCAGAGAGGGAGAGAAGTGGCACCAAGGGTTCCAGATGTTTATCCGAGGAGGAAGAGCATCCCCTCCACTCCACAATTAGGCACCGGTTTCTCCTTGCTCCTAACTCCCTCTCTGAGGCTGTTCATCCCTGCCTGGTGGAGTTCAAGGCAGGGTAGGGTGCAGGTCCTTGAGTCCCAGGTGCGTCCAGGCTCCTGGTGCTGGGTGTGCTGGTGGATGGACGGGCACGTGCCCGACCTGGGCTGGGTGGAGCTGCTTCAGTAGACATAGGGCAGGATTCGGTAAGGCACGCGCTTGCAGTATTCCCGCCAGGCCAGGCCGTACTTCTGCAGGCACTGCTGCTCATCCCGGGCCTCACGGTGCACCAGCAGCGCAGTGAAATAGAAGAGGTAGAAGTAGGGCAGCAGGTGGGACACCCCTGTGGGGAGAGGGAGGCTCCATGACCGCTCAGCCAGCCCCTCAGTTCACAAAGATTTCCACGCCTAAAGGCTCACAGGGGCATCAGGGCTCAGTGGTGAAACGTCCAGGGTCTGCAGCAAGGTGCTGGCAGTGCTGGGTGGGCGTGGAGGTCCGGCCCTGCCACGTGCTGTATCCATCCCCAGCTCCCTGACTCCTCCTCCACTAGGGCGCATCCCTGTTCTCCATTCTACACCCAGACTACGCATCCTGTGTCACCACTCCACTTGTGTCCCTTACGTGTGGCCCCCGCCTTGTGCCCTCCCAAGCCACTCACCGCAGGGCAAGGACCAGGCCAGAGCCATGATGAGGTCTCCAAGGTAGTTGGGATGGCGGACCATTCCCCACCACCCAGACACCAGCAGCTGTCGCCCCGTAGCTGTAGGTATGGTTTCAAGGTCTGGGGAGAGACAGGTAGTGGGATGGGGGACCCCCAGGAAGCCCAGCTGCCCCACCTCACTCAGAGCACCCTAGAAACCCAGCTCACCAGCCACTCTGGGGTCAGAAGGATTCTTTCGGAAGGTGTTTTTCTGGGAGTTGGCTCCACGGAAGACGTAGTAGCCAATAGCTGGGGGAAGCATGAGCCCACGGTCAGGGTTGAGGGTCACAGCCTTCTGCCCAACCCTGACCGTCCGCCCCTGGCCCAGACTCTGTGCCTGGAGAGCCAGGACCCAGCAGCCCCTGCTTTAGAGAAGCACCTGAGGCTTAGTACCCACCTGATGGTGCTGAGTCAACAGTGAACGAGTGAAAGGGGGAAGGAGGGTGCTGACCCAGCCCGCCGCCCCTTCCTGACTGACCATTGATGAGGCAGATGACTGAGGCCATCGGCAACCCCAGCGGCTGCGGGTGGTACAGCAGGAACTGGGCCTGAAGGCTGTAGGTGAAGGGTACCCAGGCTAGGTCCCCAAAGGCCAGCATGAAGCCAAACCCGTCGTGTGTGATGTCCATGGTGGTGAGGACAGCCTCCTGCAGGGACAGGACCCACTGGCTTAGTCCCCTCGAGGTCCTCAGACACTCGCCCCTGTCTCCCTTGCCCAGTCTAGCCTCACCTCATGCCAGAGGGCATCAGCCACGTAGAGGAGCTGGAAGCCATTGACCAGCCACATGGCCAGTGACGGACTTCCCCGAAGTTCTGCTTCCTTCAGGAGCAGGGCCAGGTTGATGAGGACCTGGGGGGATCGGGGAGACAGAGCAGTCTGTCCCCAGTCTGTCTCCACAGAGGTGGCACAGTGGCCAGCCTCTCCCCTTCTCTGAGCTGTCAGTCACTAACTCTCCAGCCCTTTGTTGAAAGGATCCAGCCCCGGGGCCCAGGGGCAGAGAGGCTGCAGGGGACCCCTCCAGAGGCACTCCCAGCCTGTTTTCTCGAGCTTGTCCTGTAGTGCTCCCTTTGGGAGAGCAGCATAGGGGGCAGGCGGACGCTTCAGCCTTGAGAGTTAGAACAGACCTGGTTTTGAATCTCAGCTTAGCCACTGGGGCAAGTTGCTTCCCCTCTCTAAAGCCTACTTTCCCCACCCCATGGGCAAAATGGAGAGAATCGTGGACCCGTCTCCTGGAGCCAAGCGCTCATGACACAATGTGTGTGAAGCACTAAGCACAGGTCTGGCACACAGTAAGAGCTTGTGAGGGTCAGCGGGCAGCTAGCCTACCCTGAGCACCCCCATCTGGGAGCACCGGGCTGTCATTCCGGTGACCACTCCTGATCCTCACAGTCTTAGAGGGCGCTCGCTCTTTATCCCACTTCACACGGGAGGAAATAACCTCGGAGGCCAGATCCAGACCCAAGGGGGGCATTTGGCACTCCTCCTGTCCCTGGATGAGGTAGTTCCAGGGTGATGTGAGCGATCGTGCCCAAGAGACCCTTTGGGAAATCTTGACCACAGTCCAGCAAGGGTGATTACAACCAAAAACACAGTTGGCAGGTCCTCAAGTCCACCACTGATGGACAGGTTGCTAAACCCAGTGATCACTTCTAGGTTCTGCACCGCTCTGACCAGCAAGGATCATCGGATCACCATCTTTCCGCTCAAAACAGACTTTACGCTTGACTGCTCTGCTTAACGTCGTACCTGCTCTTCTAACTCCGTCTCTGCCTTGTTTTTCTCCATAGCGCTTAGCCTCCCCCGACATGTTATATATATTTTACTAATGTTTTGTCTTTCTCACTAGAATGTAGGCTCCATAAGGACAGAGACTTTTTCTTTCCTGTAACTTTTTTCTCTTTTGTCTCCCAGTACCTAGAGCAGTGCCCAGCGCACAGGGTGGACTCAATAAGTATTTGTGGAATGAACGAATAATGATTTATGACCGCACATATTGGCCCTGCCCTGCCCAACCCCTGTTCAGCCATGCCACCCCTCCTCCTGGCGCCAGGCCCACTTAGCCATGCTCAGCATACCCAGGCCATGAGGCCAGGCCGAAGTTCGCAGAAATATTTGAAATCAAAGGAAGAGATGCGCGGGTTGAGCTCCCGTCCCAGGAAAAAGTCGTAAATGGGGTTGCCTGGAGAATAAGGGAGGGTGAAGGTGCCAGCTAGCACCCCATCTGCCTCCCTCCGCACCCAACTGGGACCCCTCTCACCTGAGTTGCCCCCAGGTGCCAGGGCGGAGGCAGGGGCTACCAGAGCCTTCAGATAGAGAAGGAGGCTGAAGACGAAGGCGGTGAGGGTGGCCGCAAACGCCAAGGGCAGGAGCATTTCCGGGAGCGCGTCCAGGGGCAGCCCAGCCGACACCCCCAGGCCCACCAACAGGGTTGTCACCACCAGGGCCTGGAAGCCTGAACCAAAGTACCCAGTGAGTCCTGGGAGCTGCGCCCCTCCACCCCTGCTCCCCCCAACGCACACACAGACCAAAGCCCAGGGAGGTCACAGACCCCGCCCCAAGCCCTAAGGCTGACACCTCGGCTGTCAGAAGGCCACCCCAGCCACTGCTCTGGTGCACAGAGTAGCAGCAAATGCTGTGGGGCACGGGAGGGGAGGGTGGAGGGACAGGGGCGTAGAGAGGGACAGTGAGACCCCCCACGTCTGTCCTGGGCAGAAAAGAGCTTGGGGTCCGGGGCTAATCCCACTAGGTCTGAAGCTCCCCCCCATCTCCCAGGCACCGTTAATAGGGTAGCGCAGGCGACTCTTGTTCTTCAACTCCTGCCCCTCGGCCACCTGCGGGCACAAAGGGGCTCCGATAAGGGTTGAGAGTGCCTTCATCTCGCCGAGCCCTCCCTCCGCCCGCCTCCCCCGCGCGGCCGCGAGCCGAGTCCGCACCTTGCGCGCCGGCAGTAGGTAGAGCGCCGCCTGCAGGCCGAGCCAGGCGAGCACGAGCTGCAGCGCCCGCGGGCTCCACAGCGCCTCGGGGCCGGGCAGGTAGGGGGGTGGGCCCAGGAGGCGCGCTGGGCCCGAGCGGGCCACCAGCAGCAGGTGGAACATGGTGGCAGGGAGCACCAGCATCAGCGCCGCAGCGCCTGGGGAAGGGTGGCGACGGCGTCGGGCGTCCGCTCCCCAATTCTCCCCCAATCCCGGTAGGCGCCCTGTCTCCGTGGCCCCCTCCGCGTTCGTTCCCATCGTCCTCTTCCATATCCCGTTCTCAGCTCTCAGCCCCTGCCCTGACTTCCACCTTGGTCCTCGCCCCCAGGTCCCCTCGAAGACCCTCTCGCTTTCCGTACTCTGTCCGGTCCCGACAAATCCCCTGCCCCGCCGTTCCCAGAACTGGCCCCTCCTAAGCTCCCTCTCCATGCAGTCGCCCGCAGACCTCCGGATACCCCTCAAAGCCTTCCATCCTTACATCCTGCCCCCATCCGCGTTCGTGGCTCACTCCCCCGTTCTCCCTCGCTGAGCTCTGGCCCCAGGTTCCCCCCACCTCTGCCCCATTACCCAGAGGTCCCCCGAATTCCAGGGAACCCTGAGGAGAAGCCATGGTCTTCGCTCCGCTGGGAGTTGGGAGCTCACAAAAGCCCGTCAAGAAAACACAGCCCACCCCAACCCCCAGGAGATGGGCTCGGTGACGCGGAGGATCCGACCGAGCCGCGTCTGCACCTGTCTCGGCACTGAGCTCGGACAGCGACCACCCCTGTCCCAGGATCTTTAAACGGCCCCGCCCCCGGGCCATCCTGGGCCCAGCAGATCAGCCAATCGGCTCTCGGGGGCGAGGCCGACGCGGGCGGCTCCGAGGCCGCGCGTCCGTAGCTGCTTCCTCACAACCCCGCCTCCCGCAAGTCCCGTCCCCGCAAGCGACAGGGAGGAGGGGACAACACGTCTTTATTGGGCGGGACTTGAGGCCCAAGGGGAAGGGCTGCCGGGGCGGGAGACCGGGGATGAGTGGGTTGGGGCAACCGGGCAAGCCCGTGCAAGACAGCCCGTGCACGGCAGCCATACGCGGCAGCAGCCGGGCCTAGCCGCGCTCGCAGATGACCTCGACGACACTGGGTTCCATGGGCACTGGGTCCGGGCAG